ACTAAAACCGTCCAACTTGCTATTTTTAGGCTTTTGCCCAACTTATTGATTCAAATAGAAAAAAATTTAATTCTCTTTGAATAAAATTTTAAATTTAAATTTTATAAACAACAAAATAAACTAACACTTTTACTTCTATTGGGTTACGTTATTCTGGTCGGCTGGTCGGCAAGAGATTGCTCCTCAAAGCCTAAAACAAGCTTACGCGGCCCAATGAAAGGGGAAGTGTTGGCAGGAGAGTGTGCCTCTTGCACTGCTCAACTAAAATATGAGGTACGCATACATTGTAAGGTCCTCCATTCTTCCAATTATTTAATCTTCTTCTCAAGTCATAATACAATCTTTTTTTTTTTTTTTCCAGTTCAGTCTGTAATCACAACTTGACTCAATTTCACGTGCGCTAAAAACGAGGGATTGGATCAAGTGGTAAACGATTTGTTTCAGTTTAAATAAGGTCCCGAGTTTGAGATTTTGTATAAACATCAGTTTTTGTTAGGAGACTCACCCATTATTTTCAGGTGCGCGACTCGGGTCGGGTCCGGATTAGTCAGGGCGAAACTCTGAATACCGGGAGGGAAACCAAAAAAAAAAAAAAAAAAACGTAAGTATTTAAAAAAATTAATTTTTTTAAATGAAGTATGCTGCTGCTAGCAAAATGCTGTAATTAATGCGGTTGACAAGGGTAAAACCGGTATATAAAACTATGGCGCGGCCTATATAAATGGAAGTCTTTCCCGACTCAAATTGCAGGGAACGGTTCGCTACGTGGCCTTCTTTCCCAGTGTAATTCATCGTAGACTCTCAGAAGATCTCTGTGTCGCCGGAGTAGAGAGTGAATCTGATTAAAAAAAAAAAGAAACGGAAGTGATCGAGAGACTCTCCGATTTTTTTACGATAAACTGCAAATTCAGGTGACTATTTTTCTCGTGCAATCTGTTTGATTCCTGAGAAATTTACAAGGAAAAATGTATGTGAAAATTTTCAAGTATTATTTGCTCAAAATTTAATTGATCGATCGGTAGAATATTGCAATGTTGCAATTTCGGAACTGTTTAGCTACTTCTTAATAAAATTCATGGTTTGAAATTTGGGAATTGAAATGGCATTAAAATGACACATGCCCCGCATCCACTATGAATTTACTGTTATGTGAGCTCATTACTAAAATTCTTATTTTTAGTCATCATTTGTCAACCACATGAGTTTGTTTGCCGGTAATATAAATTTTTACCGACCAAAACTTAAGATTTATATTGTTGATAAATTTATGATACTTTTTTTTTTTTTAAGTACACTTCATTTCCGGTGACTTATAATGTAAGGTGAAGATTTAAAAGGTTGATGTGTTTAATTTTTTTTTGAGAGATTACGATAAACATTAATTAATTAATCTTAAATGTCAAATTTATTCTTAAATTTACTTACTATAGTTATTATTAAAATATTTGAAATTAAAATGGTATCCATTCCTTCGTCTTCCCCACAAATTTCTTTGCTCTTCTTCGATTCACCTTGTTCTTCCTTTCTTCCCCTTCTCTAGTCCTGGCAAACTCTTCTTCCCTTTTCTTCTCTAACTTCGGCATAAATGATCTCCCTCTCTTTCATCCACAACTTCTTCATCACTTTGTTGTCCCTCTCTCTTCTTCTCCTTAGTTCTTTGTCCTCAGCTCAATCCTCTCCTCTCTACCTTAGCTCTTCCCTTCCACAAAACCCACTACTCAAGTCTATTCTCAATCTGGGTTTTACAAGATTTTGGCATCCACTGAGATCTGCCTCTTTTGTTCTCTATGGTCGCTAGTGCCAAGACTCCTCTCCACTCTTGCCTCTTCCCCCCTTCAATTGAACCATAGAAAACCCAATTTTCTCGATCTGACAAGGTTGCACAATGGGGAACCCATCTAGTTTCCCAAATCTGCAAATAAGTTCCTAGATCCACAGTGACCGAGCTGCAACTCAACAATAAATTCGTCCTCTAGTTTTGATTTTAAGTTTCTTTGGCGTTTGGGATTTTTATAGCTATGTTTTGATCCTTTGTTCTGTGTTGATAGATTTCTCTTATTTTGTAATTATGTATTTATTCATAAACTATGACCATAATCTTCAAATTTGAGTTGTTCATCCAATTTCTATGGATGAGAATGCAATAAGGGTTCAAACCCAAAATTGGTTTTGAAACAATTTCTCAAGTAATCTACTAAAGCGAAGAAAATGGATAGGAGGTAATTCTGACGTGCAAAGCAAAAGTTGAGGGAGACATTTCAATTTGGAAAATAAGTGTTCTTTATTTATTTGTCTATGAAAGATTAAAAATTGCAAGGTGGAAATTAAAAAAAAATGGTATCTCATCACTTTATGGGTTTTCTCTTTTACACGTCATTATTTAAAAATAAAAAGATATGATTTTTTGGAAGTTTACCTTGACGGAAGGATTAAATTAGTATTAAAAATTGAAGTTCAAGAATATTTTTGGTACTTTTTTAAGTTTTAAGGACAAATTGGATTTACTATGCTTAAAAGTTGAGGGATTAAATTAGTATTTTAATTTTATTTTTTAGACAAAATAGATTTTTAAATTATTTAAATAAGTTGGTAAATAATACATTAATTAATGTGTCAAGTATTAAATAAAATTTAATATATTAAACAAAATTAACTAATAAATTAAAATTTTGAGATAAAAAAGAATTTTTTAAAAAATAAGAATTAATTAAATTATAACAATTTTAACTAGTAAGTAAAGGCAGGAGTGAAAATTTAAAATTTTAGCAATATGATACATATCGGTGATAGGTGATGAGATTTAAAATTCAGATAGATTTTAATAACATGGAATACGTTACTGATATGATGCCTAAACTTTCAACAACATGATATATGTTACTAAAAGTTCTTCTATACCACACCCCCACACCATGCCGAGCCATCTCTGCAAATTATTCTTTCAATTCTACTCCCCTTCTCTTGCATACCATCTCTTCACCTCTCCTCCTCATCTCAGCCTTTTTTTTTTTTGCACATATCCTCCATAACTCACTCATTTTTATCCATTCTCTAATATGTATATTTTACTTATTCTCTTTTATCATGAAATTCTCATACATATCTTAATAATTGAATAAATTTCCATCAATTACTTCATTCTCTTGAAGCATATATTGTGATTTTATTGTATGAAATATTTTTATAAATATTATGTGATCAAGTAGGTTTCAATTTATTTGGAAGTTA